TTACTTGGTATCCGTAAAGTCAGAACGAGCCCTTATCACCCTCGTGGCAACCCCGTTGAACGGTACAATCGTACATTACTCAGCATGTTGGGAACTTTACAAGCCACTGAGAAACATCACTGGCGCGATTTTGTAAAACCACTTACTCACTCGTACAATTGTACAAAAAATGACGTGACGGGATACTCTCCCTACGAGCTAATGTTCGGTAGGCAGCCTCGGTTGCCTATAGATATTGCCTTTGGGTTACCGCATTTGAACAAGCCCTCTATAACTCATTCTCAGTATGTTAAAGAACTGAAGAGTCATCTGGAACAGAGTTATGACATTGTCATAAAAAACTCTCAAAAAACAGCGAGGAAGAACAAAGAACGGTTCGACAGAAACATTCGTGAGTCCACACTAGGTGTGGGAGATCGTGTTTTAGTCCGAAATCTTCGCTTAAGAGAAAAGCATAAATTAGCAGACAAATGGGAGCAAACAGTGTATATAGTTCTCAAACAGATGGAAAACTTGCCAGTATACACTGTAAAACCAGAGAACGGAGAAGGACCCAACAGAACACTCCACAGAGATCTTTTACTGCCTTGTGGTTTTCTCTCTTCATTAGAAAATGGAACAGAACGCGTTACGAAACCTAGCAGACCTCATACAAGACAGAGTTCAGCCTTAGAACCTGACCCAGATGAGCCACTTGACGAAGAGGTAGATGAGTTTTATTACTCTGATCTTCCACAAGTGCTAAACCGACCATCCTATCAAATAGCGGTCACCTTGCCAAATAGGGAACTCATAGCAGATTCAGGACCGGTAAATAATATTCAACAACAAAACACACTATCCTTACACACAGGGGATCGCAAGGAACCAACCTTAGCTGGTAATGAAAATGCTGAATTGTCCTTACTTGACAAAGGCATCAACACCGAAACATTCTTACCTGAAAGAGTGAAAGAAGCAGCAACATACTTACCTGAAAAAACGAAAAAAAACGAAGTATACTTACCTGACGTAGAAACGGGGGATGAAACTAACACAAACCTACCTCAATTGGATGGTGTCCTAAAGTCGCAGCAACGTGATGTAAGTTTTGAACCCATCATACACGATCAGACACATACATCTGAAAAGACCAAAGTCTTAGAGAATAGCTCATCAGCTCTGTCGGAAACAGAGAGCTCACTTCGTCCTGTCTCAGTTGAGAATCAAACCGAAACGGATGAGCATGATACTGTGCAACCAGAGATGTATGTCAGGAGATCTGAACGAAGTAGTCAGCCTCCTCAAAGACTAACTTACTCTCAATTGGGCAATCCACTAGTGACCGTAGTTAGGTCCCTTTTCCAAGGACTTAATAAAGCTTTTATTGACTCTCTTACTCAAGAAGTTGTGTACCCCGTAGAAACAATGCACAGGGACGTGCATGATATTTAATGGGGGAGGATGTAACCCAGAAGCTAGAACCTTAATGAGGTATTAACTAATTGGCTTACTAATATGATCCATCCTCAATTTAGATAAAATATAAAATATAAATTAAGGAAATTAACAATACTAATTAATAGATATCTAATTAACTAATAGATAATTTCATAATGAATTATTGGAAGGGTGAATAACTAAAATAACGAGTTTAATATTAAACATCGGTTAAAACAAGAATCTTGAACATCCCTAACAGAAACAGAAGAGGAAAGCTGTATACTATTGGTCCAGGTGGGAATCTGAAATTTCATTGGCTGAGAGAAATAAGTCCCGCCTCCGCGAAATAAAACCGTGCGACGCAGCTGAGCGAGAGGAGAGACAAACGGCTGTGCAGCACGCAGATACAGAAAGCAAAGACTGAGCGGTTAGAGAGAGAGAGAGAGAGAAAAAAAAACAACGGTCGAGGCCGTGAAGAACCCTGATTTGGGTGCCGCATAGATAGAGGGAGAGGCGGACTTGACTCCTTCTAATAAGAGCTAGGAACTTGGAACCAACGCGGTGAGTAAAGAAAAAAGAAGAGAAAAAGCTAACGATGCAACTTAAAAAAAAAAAAGAGGAAACTTAAATAGCTTATCAAATTAATTCCATTCTTATAGATTTGTGTGGAGACGACAGAGTGAACCAATCCTCTGTAGGAGGGAACCGTTGGAGCGCGTTGGTGAGTGAATGAGATTAAATTCAGTAAATTATTAAATTCAAAAAGCTAATTACAGCAACCGAGGTGACAGCAGTGGGCTGCTAGACGTTAGATCCCAGGAGTTAACATCTCAAACTACCAGTTAACGGTGGTAGGGCATATAGGAGTTAACGGCTCAAACCGCCAGTTAACGGCGGTACGGCATATGGGATTCCCAGGAGTTAACGGCTCAAACCGCCAGTTAACGGTGGTACGGCCTAGATGTACAAGGTCCTCAGGGGCGTTATAGCTAACGCCATAGAATTAGCAATGCGTCCCTTAACCAAACATTTAATAATAAAAAAAAATAGATAAATGAAAATAAATAAAAGCTAACTGATTAGGGAGGAATTATTTTACAAAGGTGGACCAAAGGACCAGAATTTATATTTTGTTGAATTTTGTTATAGAACATTTTATTTATTTATTTATTTATTTATTTATTTATTGTGTTACAGATATACAAGGTGTCACAATGCTGTATAGAAACACAACTAAATGTATCCTTGTTGTCATGAATGTATTTCTTGTTGAATAGTGTAGAGTAATAGAATCTAACTGAGCCTATTGAGCTGAACAATTGTTGTCATATGTAATTATATTTCCAGAGCTACTGAGAATTATTTTAATAGACAATCAAATTGATGTTATGTTAGTTGAACTGTGAACCCAAACATGATTGGCTATGCCAATAGAGTGAAGCATTTGTTTAAGTCTGTAAGACTTTATGCTGTGATGTGACGAGAAGGGTCGATGCCAACTTGCTAACAGTCCTGTTGTTTACAGGCTGGGTTTTTTTTTTTTCCTTGGGTTTGATCCCGACTCCTATGATCACTCACTTGGAACGAGAACTGGATTTCTTCCTGACGAGGGAGATGGCGAGCCTTAACCACTGAACGAACCAGGACATCTCAAGTAACTGAAGAGCAGACTGCTCTCTTCTGTGAACAATCTCAACGGTGTGGTAGGAAAAAATCGCACCACCGGACTCTGACTTTCACCCCAAGCGTGGGGATTTGACTTGACGCCGGCCGACTCGTGACTCATATGACCAAATCTCATACCGAGCATTTTACTATTGTCGATTGTTTTCATCTGTTTTTGTGTGTTATCTTTATGTGTTATATTTCCCATTATTATTAAAATTTAGTATATAAACCGTTTCATGCTATACCCGTGACTCCAGTCATTCTTAAACAACCTCCAATTCTCCCCGAACCTAATTATTGGCCCATTTGTTTATTTTTTCTTTTAATTATCTTATTGTATCCTGTAATCCGGTTACAGTAACATGCCCCACCCCTAGACTGAAGTCTATAAATAAGCACTGCGCTCGCTGGGCGGATTGTGGGTAGTACGTAGGAGAGGCAAAGATGAGCGAAAACAGAAGCGGCTGCTTTAAACGAAAGACAGAGGAGGAGGAGGCATGTTTGATCAAAAGTATTTCATCCATTGACACGTTTTTTAAGGACCTGGCTGCCGTCTGCAAACAAGCTGATGTACTCACTGCACTGTACCCATCAGATCTGGATGAAAATCTGGCAGATGAAATGATCCAGTTTCAGTGTTTCAAGATAAGACTCCTCCAAAACTACTGCAGGTTCTTTTAAAATATAGTCTACAGTTCATCTTCCCTAATGTGTTTGTGGCCCTGCAGAGTTTTCTAACTCTACCAGTTACAAATTGTGAAGGGGAACAACCATTTTCACAAATGGCAAGAATAAAAAATGAACTGGGAACAACACAAACTTAACAGCGCCTCAGTGCACTGTCACTGATGGCTATTGAATCTCAGCTTGTCAGGAATCTTGACTTTGATGATATCGTAAATTAGCTTACTAATAGGAAGGCCAGAAAACAGTTTTTTGGCAAGAGAGGAGACCAACAAGAGGAGACAAAAAGAGGAGGAAGGAGCCAGGAGTCAAGACGAGGAAGGGAACGGGAGACATGAGGAGGAAGGGAACAGGAGACAAGACGAGGAAGGGAACAGGAGACAAGACGAGGAAGGAGACAGGAGACAAGAGGAGGAAGGGAACAGGAGACAAGACAAGGAAGGAGACAGGAGACAAGAGGAGGAAGGGAACAGGAGACAAGAGGAGGAAGGAGACAGGAGACACGAGGAGGAAGGGAACAGGAGACAAGAGGAGGAAGGAGACAGGAGACACGAGGAGGAAGGGAACAGGAGACAAGAGGAGGAAGGAGACAGGAGACACGAGGAGGAAGGGAAAAGGAGACAAGAGGAGGAAGGAGACAGGAGACAAGGGGCTAAGCACATTGTGCCCAGGGGCCCCTGCAATGATAATCTGGCCCTGGATGCCATGTGCATCCTCCGTCACAGGAATATGCTTACTTAAATACAGCTGCATACTGAGGGAGTAAACGACTTAAATTAGGAGCAATGCTGCTACTTTTGAAAATATTCATATTATAAACACGTTTTTTAATCGGTGTCCTTCCTAAACAAGTGAAAGTGAAACTTAAAGGACAACTTGGATGTGTTTTCTTCTTTTTTTAACGCTTTCCTGAAAAGTATTGGATCGGGACTCGGTATCGGCAGATACTCAAAATCAAAGGACTCAAAATTGGATCGGGAGCAAAAACGTGATACCAACATCTTTAGTTTTATTGGTATTTGGATGAAAACTAAACTGTTTTTGTGACCTTTTCTGTTCTAGTATTACAGGTGAAACATTTAAAACGCCTTTCAGTCACGTCTTCGGCTCAGCTGTGGATTAATGCCAGACAACACTGTGGTTATTAGTTTAGCTTCATAACTGAACGGCTCAGGGCGAGTTGTGTCATTCTCACCGTTTAGAAGCTCTCCTTCATGTTTTCATAGAACTGCTGCTTCCTGAGTCTGACTCTGGTGGACGAGTTCCAGAAACCCTTCTGGTGCATCAGCTCGCCTGTTTACACCGTCCCGGTGCCGAGGGAGGACTACGGCAGCGACAACTACATGCTGCTGTTCCAGCAGCCAGACGGGAGGGCGTACATGCAGCTGGTTTGGTTGGAGGAGCAGAACCAGTTCCTGCTCATCGACCTCACCATCAGCATTCCTGTTCATAAGATCAACCGACGCTTCAGCAGGACCTACTGACACCTTACGGTTGTTTTCTGTGGTGTTTTCATGTCTCTGCTGACATTTGGTTCATAGATTCTGTTCAGATGGATAATTTATTGATATTTACTTTAACCCTTATGGGAATTTTTTGTTAAATAAATAATTTCAGATGCAAACACACGACTGTTTGGTTGGTTGGTCGGTTGGTTGCATCCAGCTCACAGTCATCTAACATCCAGAAGATGATTTCAGCTCGGTCTTGAGGAGGGACAGTGGCTACAAGCTCCTTAGAAAACACACTGTCATTAACTTATTATTTACTTATAATTTATTAAGTTATTATTGTTACTACCAGATTTAAAGAATAAAAGCATCACTCCCTGTTCTCATCTCCACTTCCTCCTGACTGAAGTCCTGCAGCGCTCACTGGGCTTTCTGGAAGATAGTTTAGCATTTAATTATCTTATTTAAGGGAAAAATTCATTAAGTCAACTTCATCCAGCATTTCCAATCCCAACTAAACCCCAACTTTTTTATTTCCCTCAAAATAATATTTAAATGTATTTATAGTCTGCTTTATTACTATCTCATTTCATACACAGAAGCAATTCGGCGTGCTTTTGGTATTTATACATCTGTAGCCTAGATTTAGTTTTTTGGTGTTTGACTTTTTCAGCACCTCCAAATCTGAGACCACGGTTCTCGACCGAAAAAGGGTGGTTTGCCAACTACGGGTCGGGGGAGAGGTCCTACCTCAAGTGGAGGAGCTTAAGTATCTCGGGGTCTTGTTCACGAGTGAGGGTAGGAGGGATCGGGAGATCGACAGGCGGATTGGTTCGGCGTCTGCAGTGATGCGGACGCTGAACCGATCTGTCGTGGTGAAGAGGGAGCTGAGCCAGAAAGCCAGGCTCTCGATTTACCGGTCCATCTACGTCCCAATCCTCACCTATGGTCATGAGCTTTGGGTAAGGACCGAAAGAACGAGATCGCGGATACAAGCGGCCGAAATGCCACATGTTAGCACATGTTGGTCATGGTCATGAAAATAAACACCTCTGGGAACTCCTTCAAGACTGTTGGAAAGCCATTTCAGGTGACTACCTCTTGAAGCTCATCAAGAGAATACCAAGAGTGTGCAAAGCAGTAATCAGAGCAAAGGGTGGCTATTTAAAAAAAAAAAAGAATATAAATTTTTTTTTCAGTTATTTACCTTTCTTGGTTAAGTACATAACTCCACATGTGTTCATTCATAGTTTTGATGCCTTCAGTGAGAATCTACCAATGAAAATTAAAAAAAACACATCGAATGAGAAGGTGTGTCCAAACTTTTGGCCTGTACTGTATGTGGTACTTAAATTTAAAGGATAAATAATGATGTGAGTTTCAGCTATGTCACTTAGAGATCTTTTAGCTCGTTTAGGTGTCTGTTTAGTTCTGTAGACTACACAATCATGGGGAAGACTGCTGACCTGACATCTGTCCAAAAGACGACCATTGACACCTTCCACAAGGAGGGAAACCGTCATTGCTAAAGAGGCTGGCTGTTCACAGAGCTCTGTGGTGAGCACATAAGGACAAGATGTCTTGATAACTGACTTTCAGCAGTTTATGGAAACCCTGACACATTCCAAAGGACATGTCCGAATGACTACTGCGGAAGAATTTCCCTCTTCAGATCATTTTCTCCTTACATTCAATATGACTCTTACTGCTTTACACCATCAAACCTCTTCATTTAGTTACTGTTTTGGAATCTTAAAATATCAACATGGACAATTTCCAAACATGTGACATCAACATGTGTGAAACACACAGGCCTAGAAACAGTATCAGACACTTCAAAACCTTAAAAATAAGACAAAATTATATTAAGAACAATGGATTTAAGTGTTTCTGCATTTTAAAAGTAAACTCACTCCTACCTCATCTGCACATTTCCATTCATCTTGTCATGTAAATATTCTACTGTAGTTACAGTATTTTCACATGTCAAATCAAATCAGTCTTAGATATTTTTACATACACATACATTATTCACAGGACAACCTTTATATTCTTTTATTTAATATTTTTGTTAATCTGCTTTGCTGCTGTTACACCAAAACTTCCCCAATAAAGGAATTTTCTGTTGTATTTGCAGAGGTCACCACTGGCCACTAGGGTGTGCTGCGGTCAAGCCTCGAGGGAAAAAGGTGTATTCACGGAGTGTATTTCTTCAGTATTTCTTCTATTCTGGTTTTACATTTAGCCACAAACTCATTCAATTCCTTTAAAAATCTGTGCGTTTGTGACTGGAGTCATTAGCATCCGAACAAGTTAGGCTTTAGTTTCAACCGGCAGGGGGCAGAAACACCTTAAGTTAACGCTGCATTTAACCAAAGAAGAAGACCAACCGGAAGTCAGAGCGGGAAGCAGAGCTAGTCGTGGAGCTAGCGGTCGCCCTTGCTAAGTTTAAGAATGGCTAATTTAGGGAACTGGAGGGAGTCAATCAGGCAGCGGTTAGCTGCTGCTGGAGCAGACATACTCGCTGAGTGTGAAAACGCGATCATCCACACGGAAGAGCAGATCCTCCATCAGCGCAGAATGCTGGACGCCATGAAGACAGAAGCGAGGATGCAAATAATCGGTACGGAAGCTTTAATATTAGTAACCGTGTTGTTGGAACGTGTAGATGGGCATAAAGAGCGTAACTGGCCGTTTACTGTCGCTTTAAAATTCAGATGCTTTTCTCGGGCCAAATAAACGACGTTGGAATTAGCATTCAGGTTGGCTAAAGGGCGATGCTGCTAGAATGTTTGGATCAGCTTCAGTTTGCTAACTTCGGTTCAAACCTGCACTAAAGTTTTCACAATTACCAGCAGAATATTTTAAACACAAAATAGGATTTATGGGAACTCCTACAGTCTCCGTTAAAGTTAATTAGGGACATAGTTTTCTTTAAATCTGAACCACATGGCGTGCAGCTCCAGTCCTGAGGAGGCGCACGCGGGAATGCCAGCGTTGCTGTTTGTGCTGCTTTTAAACAAATCTTTATTAACAACTTTCAAACAAACACTTGTTTGACAGAATTAGCATTAATCGCTGTCTACGTTAAACCTTAGTCCCAATATTCAGAGCCCTAACCCTATTAATCGTCTTAAAAGGAACTTTTTGCATTTTGGGAAAAAGAGAAAATGATAAAAGAAATGTTTATAATATTGAAGATTGATTTTCCGTAAACATTCCAAATGTTTTTTTCCTGATCAAAGGAAAAAATATTTTTAACCACAACATTAAATTGTTGACTCAGCAGTCTGTAATATAAATATGTAAACAAGTGATTAAATTCTGGCGTGTTGTGCCCCAAAATAAACTCCAGCATCAGTTAACAATATATTTCACCACTTTCCAACAGAGAAACACGTGGTTGTGACCATCACATACTCAATATTTCAATAATTATTGTTGAAAATGCGGACCTACAGAAAGGACACTTGAGCCAGTCTCCGTAAGATTCCCAGCAGTGGATTGTGGGTGATAACCTTTGCTGAAGTCTGCATCGATGCAGAGCTAGGCCCAATCCCAACACTCACACTTCCACATGTGCACCCTTCAATTACGCGATCCCGACCAGGGGTGTGAGCGCGTATGGTGTCCCGATTCTCAAGTGCGGAAGTTGATCACGCCCCTTTTGCACCCTTGATCCACTTGACCCAAGTAAGTCTGCATCGATGCAGACTTGGGTCAAGTGTATTACCCACAATCCATTGCTGCAGGAGAACAGGCTCAAGTTCCTTTTGTGAAAACATATATTTTCTAATAAAAATAGTTTTAGGACTATTAGCTGGTGCTCTAAAACTTTTAGACAAAGCAGCAAAAGGTGCAAATTCATGTCAAATAATAATTTGGTTGTTTGTTTGAAAGTTGCTAATAAAGTTTTTTTTAGTAGCAAAGCGACCAGCATCCCGGTCTGATGACACGATGCTCCCTGTCTCAATCTGGCAATTATTTCCACACTTGTGCACTCGAAGCGTTACGGCGCACTTCCTCCAAGTGCACTTTGCTGAAGGCCGGTAAACGAACAACCACCCTTCTAAAGGTTTCATAGCTCAGACCTTTGATATCATTTCATATTCATATCAAACATGTCTGGACACAAATAAACAGACAAACTATGTTCAGATATCAGATTATAAGCTGGCAGATCGACGACAAAAACACAGATAATTTGTTCAAATATGTCTTTTAATTCATAAACTCTTTTTTGTATGTTCCTCCAATAAGATGACATTAAACGGGAGGAGGAGGAGGAAAAGGAGGTTCTCCCTGATGATCACCTTTCTGACCAGGAGGAGCCTTCCGGTCTGGAGGAGGATGATCTAGAACCTTCACGGGTTAAAGAGGAGCAGGAAGAGGAGCCCTGCACCAGTCAGGGTGGAGAGCAGCTTGTGCTGAAGGAGGAGACGAGTACCAGCTCGGAGACTCTCGGTGCGAGGGGCTTCAGAGGAGAGCTTCTAGGTGAAGACACCTGCAGAGACGCCTCTGAGGAGGAATCCCAGAGGAAGCGTGACCGTAAGACGGGGGCCAAACGGTTTTCGTGTGAAGTCTGTGGGAAAGGTTTTGATTATCGGGCTTCTTACGTACTCCACATGAAAACGCACACCAACGAGAAGCCCTTGGGTTGTAGAACATGTGGGAAAATGTTCCGGAGAAGTGATAAACTTCTGCTGCACACGAGAACGCACACGGGCGAGAAGCCGTACCTTTGTAACATCTGTGGCAAAAGCGTTTCCGACCCTTCTAGTTTTAAGAAGCATTTGTCGAGCCACTCGGACGATAAGCCGCACACCTGTGTGACGTGTGGTCAAAACTTTAAATACACGGACACTCTGAAGATCCACATGAGAATCCACACGGGCGAGCGGCCGTACGTCTGCAGCCTGTGTGGGAATAAATTTGTTAACGCGTCGAAGCTGAACCGCCACAAGAAGACCCACACGGACGAGAAACCGCACGTCTGCGACACGTGCGGGAAAAGATTCATCCGCCTGCACGGCTTAAAGAATCACATGAAAACACACACAGGTGAGAAGGTGTACGCCTGTGTGGCGTGTGGAGAGGGTTTCAGCTCCGTCTGCGGTCTGAACCGTCACACGAAGGTCCACGCAGGCGAGACGTCGCTGGAGTGAAGCGTCTCTGATGACTAAACAAACCAGAAAGATCCTTACAGAGACTTTAGGTGGGATTGCAGCACGGCGATGGCAGAAGTCCGTAGTTTACTCTATCGGAAGGATTTTCTCATTTCAACCCAAAGTTTTTCTTGTACTTTAAGATTCTGAGAGTGCAGAGAAAAAATGAATGAGTGAATATTAACCAGTAAAATGTTGGTTAAGAAAATAAAAACGTAAAACTGAGCAGAAATCTTTGTTTTGTTTTGTTTTGCTGGTGAAGCTGAACGCAGCCCAAAGAGTGTTCATCTCTGTTTGGATTATTAATAACAAAAAACGTTGATGCAGTGATGGAGGTGAACGCTGAAATGATTATTTTGCCTTTATGTCGGCAAAAACAGTATACATACAGCGGCCAGCCCAAAAAGCCTCCGCCGGGATTTAACTGTAAGACTGGTAGGAGGATGTGGAGGATAGGGCTGTCCCGATGCAACCTTTTCACTTCCGATACGATAGCGATATTGCAGCCTTCAGGATTGACGGATACCAATATCAATTCGATACGATAGCAGCACAAATCCTGCAGACTGACTGTTTCGGAGTGTGGAATTTGTGAAAGGCTTGATCCAGTGATATTACTGTGTCAGAGAACAAGAGCCAATAACAGTAAGTATGAAAAAAATAAATTTTTCTTAACCATTGGTTGCAAAAATGTGAACCTTAACGGACTGCTTAGATCGGAGATTTTTGATGCCGTCCGATATAATCCAGCAGCGAAAGTTTCATCTCCTAAAATTAATCCAGATTTTCATCTTTAAAAATTAAACAACAGAATTTCAACAGAATATTTTTCAGTTTTTATTCCGCAGCAGATCTTCAGCAGAAATCAGGTGACCTGGTGACCCGGGCCAAAGCAAACGTCAGCCAATCAAATCATGCTCATTTGACCATGTGACACCTTGTTAGGGATTTTATCAATCACCTAATACCTGCAGCAAAGGGAAAAGACAATCACACGAGTTACTGTTTGCAAATCAGGGCAGATGCTCAAAGGCTCGAGGCTTACAACTGCAAGGTGCAGCTGCCCTTCCAGTTTATTTATCTCATGAGGTAAGACAGGAATGCGTGTGTGGGGGTGGGTGTGAATAAGAATGCTTTCAGGCAGAGTAATACATAATACATTCAGTTAATGGGATTAAAGGCACAGTCTGCAACATTTAAATGTAGAATAACTTTAAAAATGTTTGATTTTGACCATCTGACCCAATTTTATTTAAAAAAGTAAATAATCTTTAATATTTCAATTTTCTCCTAAGTCCCTCCCCTGCCCTGTAGAGCTCAGCCAATATTTCTGCAAGCCTAACGCGTTGACCAATAGCGCTGCGTTTCCACCAGGGGGCAGCTGTCAATCATCGAGCCACGAGCGGTCTCAGCGTGCACAATAGTGTCACGCGCCTCACTCGGCTTACTGCAGAAACATGGAGCAACAAAACCCCAAATTACCGATTCCTCGACTGCCTTCCACATCTCAGAAAACATTTAAAAAGTTTAAAAGCCCTTCTTCAAAAGTGGCTCTAAGACGTTTGAGACAGTCGAGTAGAATTTACATTGGAGATTGTTTTACACACGATGGAGAGATTTTCATGATCTACACGGCCTGAAAACGGATGAAGAGGTGGCAAAGTATCTTTTAGACAGGTAAGTTATTTATTGTTTTTCGGATACATTTACTTATAATCTTTCTTTCACTGAAAGAAGCAATAGAGCAAACAAGCTTTGTATGCTTGGTGTCCTATTGGCTAATGTAGCATTAGCTTGAATGCTAAGTCAACATGAATCGATGCTAGTCAAACTAGTTATGCTATATTTGGAAGAAGTATGAGTAACGAAAGGGGATTTTAGTTTTTTTGTTTATATGGGAGCTAATGATTAGTGTGGCGTTTAACTATAGGCCACATCAGTATATTGTTTTAAGCTCTTGTTTATAACTTCCCCGTTAGCGGGGTTCAGTTAGCATCTTGAAAGCTGAATTAGGTGTTTACACTTTCCTGAGCTGCGTGTTTGATTAAAATGAGCAATCAGCAGCTCATGTAGTACTTGTAGAAGTCTGAGGAGATGATTCAGCAGTTAGAATTAGGTGTGATTGATCAGGAACGTATCCAAAACCTTACGTTTCCATTAGCACTGAAAGACATATTGTGCTAACCTGGGTGGGCCACGTGTACAGATTACCGTCTGAGTTTGTGGTCTTACCTACGTGAAAACTCCATATTAAAATAAAAGGAATGATAATCAGCTCGTGCAAAAATCTGTGAAGGCTGGGGAGACTTGTTTAGCTTGTGATCACTAATTTTTGGGCTTTGTTTTTTACAGTCATCAGTCCAAATATGAAGCATCAACATCTACACCATTGAAGCGCCAACTGTTTATTTCTCCAACACCAGTGCCAGCTCTGTCTAGCATTCATGGAGAGTCATCTGAAAGGTAAATAGCTGCGTAAAAACCTCTACCAGGAATATTATAATTTTGCCTCTGTTTTAAGTTAGTGGTGGATTATTTTGAAAAAATTCTAGAAATGGGATAATGAATGACTATAAAAAATGTATAGAAATAAATAGTAAAACTACATTTTATGTAGCGCCTCTCAAGATAAAACTCTTGAGGCACTTCACAACAACAAAATTAAACATATTTTAAAAAATTATATTTTTATTTCAAAGTTTATGAGAAAAAAATAACACAACTGTGTTTTTAAAATGTAAAGAGAGAGACAGGAAATTATTTGTAAAGAAGGAATTCAGTGGATACAGAGAAATGCGTAATAAGTAGAGGGAGAAAAATAAGGAGAGGGTGATGATGACGGCCAATAGACGAGGTCTATTACCTTCAAAATGACAAAATATGTATTGATTCTAATCATATTCTTGTGCTTGTATTTTATTTTCATAGGGATGATAATTTGGAGGAGGTGATGGAACAAGGTGAAACTAAAAAAGAAGGATCTTCACAAATTGTAAGTACAAGGTTGTATCTGTATTTGGCTGTCACATTTGTCAGGAAAAGTAAACAATAATTACTTTTTTAGGTTATCTTGTGTGGGAATTGAAGCAAACATTGACGAGGAAGAGTTCAACAATATTCAAAACTCTGTGTAAGTATTCAGATGTTAATAAAATGTGTCTAATTTTTAGAGCTGAAACAACTAATCGATTTAATCGATTATAATCGATTATTGAAATAGTTAACAACTTTTTTAGTCATCGATTAGTTGTTTAATAATCACATTTTACAGCATAAAGTCTATTTTTACCACAATCTGACATCGGTTACAATCTGTTAAATTTGCCGCCAGTGTGTGGCAGTAGTGAGCCACTGATCTACCAGTGGAGCCGTAGAAGAAGAAACGAGCCAATAAGTGCCCTCGGTTTTCATGACGTAACACGTTACTGACGCTCATCTTGCTGTGAGAGATGGCGGAACAAGAAGAAATACGGAAGAAAAATAGAAGCGACAAAACTGAAGAGAAACCCCGGACAAAAACCTCACGAGTATGGGAGCACTTCACTCTAGATGCCATGAAAAGACGGGTGACCTGCAAAATATGCAAAAACCATCTAGCATAGCACGGAAGCACGACGTCCCTAAGTGAACATTTGAGACGAAAACATGTGGGGGCTGATGCAGCAGAGGAAGAGCCAGCCCGGTAAGTAACAGAAAATAAGCTAAATATAGTGGTCCATCACTACACGCAGATCCAATTTGGGACTTAGTGTTTTAGCTGAGTTCGTTATAGTGGATGTTAAACATGTTTTTTTGCTGCGTCAGTCTACGGTGTTCTACTTCTGATTGACTAAATGCAATAGTGAATCTCCGTGTTGTGAATCATGCGCTTGCCAAATTTAGCACGTCTGTTTATAAGAATGTTCTCGTTAAGAGAAAAACGGCACAAACCCATAACTATGTTCCTCATTCAAAAAAGGACAACTCCGCGGAGAAAAATATACAGACGAGCTGTGTCCAGGTGAATATAACGCAGCATAGTTGTACGCTTTCAATTTTTAAATACAGGAGAAATTCAGAAAGTCCTTTTTTTACTGTTAAAAGGCTGTTTTACTATCTAACACTAAAACACCTCACAACACATTTTTGTCAAAATAAATGATCACTGTATATTGTTAATTAATTCAAATAATATAATATTGATTTAATGTTGTAGTGTGTGTGTTGCTTTATTTTAATTGTGTACTTATTTCAGTTTTTTTGTGTTTCTTATGCAGAAAAAAACAAGCAACGATGGACAACTACATGGGGAACAAGACACTCACCCTCCAGCAATTCTACATTATTTTTTATGGAATTTACCTCTTATATTTTGATGCCAAAAAATTATTCTGGACTGATAGTTTGCACTGTTTAGCTCATTTTACACCACTGACTGTGTTCATGTGCAATAAAATAGATTGCAGTCAACTGCACAATTCTCTTATGTTTTTCTTTTTCTTAACTGAAATGTATTCATCACTTGTATAGGTTAAACAGCTAAACAATAACAAACAGATTAATCGATTAATTGAAAAAATAATCGACAGATTAATCGATTATGAAAATAATCGTTAGTTGCAGCTCTACTGTAAGAAGAGAGGCGACTTGAGTACTTTGGAACGGACACATTGGGACCGGGTCAGGAGTTCTGGTACTGACATGTTGGGACCGGATCGGGAGTTCTGGTACTAGGAAAAGACCAATGAACAACTTGAGGTGAGTTTGGGAGTCAGGGAAACTAATCGGAGGCTAGTGTGTCTAGCTAATAGCAGGCGAGGGTCTGAACATATGCGGCTTTCTTGTGTTGGACATGAGGAGCTGACAAAATTTGTGTCTTTTTATTTAATAGTTTTTTTATTCAAACTAACAAGTACAGCAACGGTGTAGCTATTCGTTTCTATTTCTTAGTTGAATTATCAGACTCCATGCTGCCAGGGCTCACTGCTGCCCTCTGCTGGTTTGGTCAGGTTACAGTCATAGTCCAAACGGGTAACGTGGAGCTCCTATGTCCCTAAACCGCTACTGTACTTTAAGATGGTGGATGACCATGGAGGGTCAACCACAGTTTATGTATATAAAAATGTATAATTACAAGTTGAGAGGAATATTTAGACTTGACGTTGATGAGAAATGTTAGTGAAAAAGGACACGTTTGTGAACTGGAAACACAGGATGATAGTAAACAAGCAAAAATATCACACACTGGGCCTTTAAGAAATTATATAAAGAAAACATTTTTTCCAGATATAGAGGATCACTAATTTGTATATGTACTGTAGTGATAATATACATATACGTTATCATAATTGATGTTGATATTTTTGAGTTGTTGGGGTCTCGGGGGTCCTCCCTAGATTTTTGTCAGGGATGCAGAATTTCATCTATCAGCTAATAAATGATTTATGACTCTGAACAGGCGTCGTCAAACACACGATGTTCTAAAACACCTATAATCTATGTTTAGAACATAAATTCACCTTTATTTTACCCCAAACCTAAGTCATCAGAACGAGAGCTGAAATACCATCCAACCATAGGAGAAGCCTGCTTTGTCTTTAGCATGCATTGCATGTATTGGGTCATGAAGTCCATGCAGAGAAGTACCTACCTGGTTCCTCCACACACGTGTTTCATGAGCATTTTTAACTCAGAAGGACCCCTGAAGGACTTAGTTGTTCGTCCTTTTATCAAAACTTATTTTGAGCCTGAGAGGGTTAAATGTCCAGGCGGGGAATTGCTTTGCAACACTCCCCAGGAGACGGAGAAGTCCGAGGGCAAACTGTCTCCGTCTGTGCGAGCGTGTCTCTCCCTCGTGGCGATGACGGAGAAGTATAAATTAGGCTTAACGTGCCAGGATTTTAGGATTTTGGGTTGGGGGTGAACTGGAGCACCCAGAGAAAACCCCCACGCAGCACACGGAGACACAAATGATTAGATCTGTTGAGATCTCACCTGTGCTGCGGTTTTTTTTTGTTTTTTTTTTTTGTGTTTTAGTACCTGGTGGTGGAAGAAGCTACATCCTAGACACATAGTATAAAACTTCTTTAACGTCGTGGCATTTTAAATCAAGAGCCAACCCATCTAAGGTGTTGACTCTTAGTCTACCTAAACTAGAAGCTCTGGTAAGCGTAATTGTTAGAGCTAAAATATTTCACCCATTCCTGTTTCCTCCAGCAGAAGCTCTTGGAGAACTTCAGGTTAATTTTCGGCTCTTCTAAACTTTGAGCCTTTGTTTAATCCCTCGTGTTACTGTGTGTTACTATTTACTAAATTTAGATTGGCTGCTCGTATTATTTCCTCCGCCTGCATGTCCTGTTCCTGCAGGTTTGCAGTGTCTACTCTCACCCATTCAGTTTCTTCTCTCTGAAAATTTTACATTTTCCTGATTAAAATTCTCTGTTTCCTAGTTTTAAAACATCTAAGCCCATCCCAAGCTCCTTACTTCACTTGTATATGCTTTTCTGATCTTCATTGGTGTTCTGGAAGAAGACATCTCCAGTAGAAGTCAGATTGGTCCCAGCTGGATCCTAGGCCAGATGTAGAAGGCCTTGGCTCTTCAGCCTCCCAGTCTTCTTCAGCGCTCCCATGGACAGGCCCGGGGTTCTCTGGAAGCTCATCGTTATCATCATGAAGACCGGGAACAGTTGGGTACCCGTCACTGGGTACCTGGGTACTCACAGTTTTTTCTAAACTCGGTTCTTCCAGATCTTCAGACGCAGCTGTGGGACTGTCTGACTCGTCCTCCACAGGTGGCTGCTCGTCTTCCACGTTTAAAGATGCTTTCTGCATTTCTTCCCTCAGTTCCATCTTTTGTGTTTCATCATTATGAGGACATGCTGCGTAGCCAGGGCCCCTGTATCGGGTACCAAGTAACAAGTGCCCTCTAACCCACTGCTGGGTACCAAGGTACTGGGTACCTAATGAGTATTCAGTTCCCAAGACATGGTCAGCCAGAGTTTGTGCCTCCTGAAGAATCTGGGCTGAATCTTTTTCGTTCTCTTGAGAGTCCATCTTCTGTTCTTCTAAACTCTGATTCCCAGCTTCTAAATACTGGAACTCATCTAGGAAGCATTCATGCTTTTCTTTATGCTCCTCTTCTGAATTTGTCTTTGTTTTTTCTAAACTCCGTTCCCCCAGATCTTCAGACGCAGCTGTGGGACTGTCTGACCCGTCCTCCACAGGTGGCTGCTCGTCTTCCACGTTTAAAGATGCCGCGTTCAGTTCCAACGCTTGTGGTTGCTCTTTCAGCTCCTGCCTGATCTGATCTAAATGTCTCTGGTCCTCTTGAAAAAGCTGGAGAATTCTTCCAATTTTTTTATCAGTGTCGTCCATTCTCGCTTCAGAAATAATTTTCTCTTGAGTCAAAAGTTCAACCTCTTCTTCCATAGCTCGTTGTTTCTCCTTTAAAAGATGATTTTCTGCTTCCCTTGTTTCCATAAACTCTAGTTCCTCTTCCTCCAGGTTTTGTCGGAGCGTTACTAAACTGTCTCTCTCTTCCTGAAGAACCCATTGAATGTCCTGAATGATCGGCTCTGGATTTATGTTTCTCTCTTCAGAGTCCGTCATCTGTTTGAGAGTTTGTTGCCTAATTTGGAATTTTTCCAGCTCTTTTGCCTGTATTGCCTCATTCTCCTCCTCCCATCTGAACTTTGTTAACAGGAAATTTGTCTTTTCTTCCTCCAGAGTTTCTCTCTGAAATCTCAGACCCTCCAGCCCTTCTTCTAGAGCCGTTTCCTTCTCTTCTAAGATCGTACCTGCTGCAGCAATCTCTTCCCTAAAGTCCATCACTTGTGTTTCCAGACTTTGTTTTCCCAAATGCAAATTGTCTAATTCTTCCTGGAGGATTTCGTAAATCCTCCCTTGTTCCATCTCTGATTCTGACTTAGTCATCAGGAAACGTTGCTTCTCTTCCTCCAGGTTTTGTCGGAGCGTTACTAAACTGTCTCTCTCTTCCTGAAGAACCCGTTGAATGTCCTGAATGATCGGCTCTGGATTTATGTTTCTCTCTTCAGAGTCCGTCATCTGTTTGTCTAGACTCTGTTGCCCAGCTCGTAATCTTTTCAGCTCTTGTTGGAGGTAAGCCTGTATTTCTTCATTCTCCTCCTCCCATCTGAACTTTGTTAACAGGAAATTTGTCTTTTCTTCCTCCAGAGTTTCTCTCTGAAATCTCAGACCCTCCAGCCCTTCTTCTAGAGCCGTTTCCTTCTCTTCTAAGATCGTACCTGCTGCAGCAATCTCTTCCCTAAAGTCCATCACTTGTGTTTCCAGACTTTGTTTTCCCAAATGCAAATTGTCTAATTCTTCCTGGAGGATTTCGTAAATCCTCCCTTGTTCCATCTCTGATTCTGACTTAGTCATCAGGAAACGTTGCTTCTCTTCCTCCAGGTTTTGTCGGAGCGTTACTAAACTGTCTCTCTCTTCCTGAAGAACCCGTTGAATGTCCTGAATGATCGGCTCTGGATTTATGTTTCTCTCTTCAGAGTCCGTCATCTGTTTGTCTAGACTCTGTTGCCCAGCTCGTAATCTTTTCAGCTCTTGTTGGAGGTAAGCCTGTATTTCTTCATTCTCCTCCTCCCATCTGAACTTTGTTAACAGGAAATTTGTCTTTTCTTCCTCCAGAGTTTCTCTCTGAAATCTCAGACCCTCCAGCCCTTCTTCTAGAGCCGTTTCCTTCTCTTCTAAGATCGTACCTGCTGCAGCAATCTCTTCCCTAAAGTCCATCACTTGTGTTTCCAGACTTTGTTTTCCCAGATGCAAATTGTCTAATTCTTCCTGGAGGATTTCGTAAATCCTCCCTTGTTCCATCTCTGATTCTGACTTAGTCATCAGGAAACGTTGCTTCTCTTCCTCCAGACTTCTCTTCTCAACACTCAGAAATTCCAGCTTCTCCTTCAAATCGTTTAGACTTTTGTTGAAATCTTTCTGGAACCCTTCTGCTGTTTCCATAAACTCCACTTTGTCCTTCTGCAGATTTTCTCTCAGAAGTTGAACATCTAGTTTCTCTTTGAGCAGAATCTGTCTCATCTGCTCTGATTCGGTCTGTTTCTGCTCAAACTCAACGATCTGGTTCTGTAGAGTCATTTTCCCAGCGTTTAAACGCTCCCTCTCATCTTGGAGAGTCTGCTTCTCTGCTGTTAACTCCCTTTCTGTTTGTTCCTTAAATTCAATAAACTCTAATTTCTGTCTTTCCAGATCTCTTTTCAGGTTATTAATTTCTTCTGTTGATCTCTCTTTGCTTTCCTGTAAAGCTTTCCATAAATCTCCGACTTCCTCTTTTGTCTCATTGAAGTTTTCGTCCGACTCAAAATTAGCAATTTGAGTTTCTTTAATCTTATTCCACTCATCCTGAATTTCTTGTCCTTGTTTCTGCTGTTCCCTGTCTTCCAGCTCAATCTTTACTCTGTGTTCGTCGAGAAACTGAGTTGAAACTAAATGATCTCTTCCTTCCTGAGAGTTTGTCTTTAGTTCATCAACGTGATTCGTTAGTTTCTTTTGTTGATCCTCAAAGTGACGTTCTCGTTTCTCCAGATCCTGTGTTTTTGTTTCCAGTTTATCTTTTTCCTTCCGGAGACTTTCCCTGATGCAAGCTATCTTTTTCTCAAACGCATCCACCATTTGTTGAAAGTCGCGTTTCTCGTCACCAAAAACTAGTTTTCTGGCTTCCAGATCTCGTAAGTCTCTTTGTAAAAGCTCATTCTTTTGTTCAAATTCAACTTTAAGTATGTCTGAAAATACCTCCATGTTGTCCACGTGTGGTCCACCAGTAGCCATCGTAGGTGTGCTCAGGTCTAAAGCCAGTGTGCAAATGAAGCTGTCTGTGGGTCTGCTGCCCTTTATATAGGCCTGTGTGCGCCTGCTGTGTGTTTGTCCTTTATGACATCATCAAAGGAAGCTGATGCTGGTAGATTCCGTTTCCATGGCCATGATTATTTTTTTTTACTTTGTTGTTATAGTTCTAATTAATTTATTAATTTATTTGTTTATTTATTTATCATTAATCAGGGTGTCCGCGGGGTTTTAAAAAGTATTAAAAGTGATAAATAAAAATAGTCACATTTAAGGCTATTAAAAGTGTTAAATTTGGTCTGAGAGGTATTATTTTTTCCAAATTAGGTATTATTTTTTTCAGACTATCAGATGTCGTATTCTGAACATCGACATAGAAATATATTCCGAATGAAATGTTTTGAACGATTATAAAAACAAAACAAGCCGATTATTTGCTCCTCCCGCTTGCGCTGCCTTGAGTTACAAATGAAGCGCTCCTCCCAGTGTTGCCAAGTTAACTTAGCGACTTTGACGCTATTTCTAGCAGCTTCTCAGAACCCCTTCTTGACTTTTTAAATCTTAAAAGTACCTAGCGAACACCTCAGAAACATCTCTGGTAACCCTTAGCTACTTTCTGGATAACTGTCGTTGACAATTCCTGCAGGTTAGCTTAACACTCCGCCTGCGCTCCGGACTGTTCTTCAGGACATTAGGAAAGGGAATGATGTAGTGATGTGTCAGTCGCTAAAGAAACAGCTCTCGGAGCCGGCTCCCTGTTGGTTTAACCAGAGTGAGTGACACACACCGCACCTGCGGACTCCTGAGCCGATAAAAACAGCTAAATGTGCGCGTGCGGCGCGCTAGACACACGTGCAGCTTGCCCCTGATTGCTGTGAGACCGGGTTGGGGGTGGGGGGGTGCAGCTGTGGTTGGGACAATTATTACATTAACTGATGGACTTGTAAATAAATAGTTTATAAATAAGGTAGAAATAAGTTCCTCACGCTGATAAATAATAACTAATCTCCCTAAGGACACGGTGCTAGTGCACTCTCCAACAGACCTTGACACGACTCAATAAATGCTATGCAACATTTAGTGAACAGCAATTTGCATGTATTTGTTATAAATGCCACTGTATAATTCTTGCTGTCAGTATTTGCAAGATATTGGTATTTGGGTCTGTACTGGTTAGACTTAAATGACTTAAACCAAGGTCTATAGCCCTTGGGTCATAAACTATGAGCTATAAGTATATTGGTCTTTTTATACTGGGAATCAGGAGTTATTTTAGTGATCATCTTGTTTGTTTTTGCCCTGATTGTGCCCTGAGCAGTTTTATGACTGAATAAAAATAAAAAAAATAAAAATCTACATAAATTGAAAAATCGTCTTAAATAATCGAGATCTCAATTTCAGTCACAATAATCGTGATTATTGTTTTTGCCATAATTGAGCAGCACTACTTTAGCATATCCGGTCACATAATGATGACGTCATATTCAGTGGTCGTTCTGCATCATTTCAGGCCTCGTGGTTAACTGTGAACCACTGAACAGAAGTGCCTGGCTTATTTTCTAAGTAAAATAAATATGTGCAATACGTTGTCAACATCAGTGAGTCTCTAAGTTTATTCTTTTTGTATGTTATATATGTTAAAATATGTGTAAATACGTCGCTGATTAACACTTGCAATTTAGTGTTGTGATGGTTTTAAAAAAATTCTGAAGGTAGTAAAAAAAAGTATTAAAAAGTAGTAAATTTTACTTAAGGATTGCTGTATATACCCTGTTAATAAAACTTAATGCAGCTTTAATTAATGCTGCATTAAGTTTTATTCATTTTAATTAAACAGATTTTCCATCATGTGTTTACCTATTTTAAAAAAAGGGTGTTTAATTATTTACTGTCAATCTGAACATAAAATGATAAATGTTGTATTTTTATTTGTATGACTTTATTTTCAGGACAGATAAAAAAAATTATCTTTTAAAGTAAAAGTTTATAGTAAAAAACAAAAGCTGAGGGATCCGGTGATGGCGGCCATGCAGAGGTTGAGCGGTACCGGCTAGATATAGACGGACTCACCTCGACACATAGCATTGGCTCTGAAACCCAAGTCCTTGAGAGGGGTTGGACACTCTCCTTAGCTGGAGTTGCTCCGGAAGAGAGGTGGAGGGCTGGGGTTGGCTTTTTGTTAGCCCCGAGACTCTCTGCCTGTGTGTTGGGGTTTACCCCATGGGACGAGAGGGTAGCTTCCCTGCGCCTTCGGGTCGGCGAACGGGTCCTGACTGTTGTTTGTTCTTATGGGCCAAATATCAGTTCAGAGTACACACCCTTTTTGGAGTCCCTGGGACGAGTGCTAGATAGTGCTCCATCAGGGGACTCCATCGTCCTGCTGGGGGACTTCAATGCTCACGTGGGCAATGACAGCTTGACCTGGAGGGGTGTGATTGGGAGGAACGGCCCGCCTGATCTGAACTCGAGTGGTGTTTCCTTATTGGACTTCTGTGCAAGCCGCAGTTTGGCCATAACGAACACCATGTTCGAACATAAGGATGCCCATCGGTACACTTGGTACCAGGGCACGTCCTGGCTCTCATCAGCGCACATTTCCAGTTATGTCTTTTATAATGAGAAAACAATAGCTTAAAATGCACAAACACAAATACTAACCGAAGACGTTAATGGGCAAGCAAGGCTAGTAGGCATGCCACAACTAGCCTGGAGTTAGCCTAGCCTTTTGTTCGCACATCAGCGCTACCCAAAGCTAGCACAGCATTTTGTCCATACTATAGAACAGTGTAGCACAAACGGAGGTCATATTATTAATTATTATGATAAGTGCTCATTCACTGTTGTCCTGAGGTCCAGTGTGAGCTGGAGTGGCTGTGTCCATGCCACTCTCCCGGCCATTACTCACTGGCCTCTCACCATAAATGGCTTCCATTTCGGCAAACCACTTCCAGTGCCGCCGGTCTGCCCCACTCCTGCTGTGGTGGTCCTTGACGGACCCGTACTCAGCTTTTATTTTTTTTATTTTTTTTGCGGCACTGCTTAGAGGTGCGTTCAAAGCCGTGGGTGGACATTGCCAGTGCCATCCCCTGAAAAATCTTTTCATTCCACACTGAACCGTCCAGTTCGCGCTGGATTCTTTCATCAGTGAGCAAAGAGAGGAAGATTTTAACCTCTTCATTGCTCCAGGGGTTAGAAGATGAGCCCTGAGAGCAGGGAGAAGACATGATGTCGACGCTGGAGAGCACAATCAAAAAATGGATGCTGAAGATTGAGTTTGGTGTGATTCTGTGACATCACTACAAATAACACCGCAGGGCCAATCAGAAGATTTTATTAATGGGGGGGGGGGGGGGGGGGGTGTTACACATCACTTGACCAATCGGGGGAGAGTGGGCGTGTTGGGCCGGGTCGGCCTGAAGCAGACCCCCTCAAGAAGGGAGATTGGGTTGGAGCGCGTTGCAGAACCAGAGCGCATGCGGGAAGGTTCCTCCCACTGAAGTGAGTGTTTTCCAAACCCTGTCTCTCAGAGAGACTTGTCACTTAGAAAATGTTCCCTGATTATGAAACTTTGGCTGAATAGTGCTTGTTCCTGTCTCCAATGAGGCAACGCATCCAGGAGCCGTCTGAGGAGAAGCCCAGAATCTCACATCCTCTTCAGCTCAGGAAACGCCTATGATTACGCACAAGCGTGACTCGTCAACCCGGTCTCACAGTAAGACTGGGTTGGGTCTGTTCAGGTTTACACAGACAATCTTTACATAGAATTGACTTACAGACATAGGCGTCATTTTAACCGGGGACGCCGGGGACATGTCCCCGGCAAAATTTGTGATTGGCAACTGTGTCCTCCCCCACTTTCAAAAACGCCTGCTGATGAGTATTTTTGTTTTACCAGCTCAGATCTTATACCAGGGGTCGGCAACCTGTTCCCATCAAAGAGCCATTATTACCCGTTTCCCACGGTAATTTTGGACGGACCTTAATAAGCAGTGACTTAAGTGAAGCAGGCAGGTCGCGCTAGAAAATTTCGTTTAAAAAGACGTCATAAATGTTTTCCCCCGTCATTTTTATTTCTAAAATATGAAGTAAAAACTCACAATTTAATTTTCATTCATTTGTCATTAATATGTAGTCTACACCCGTGTGTTAAGTGGACCATCTTCCAGTAAAAGCAAAGCATCCAGCCCACCTCTCCAAATGCGTAAAATGTGCATCAGCCGCTAGTTAGGCGCGCCGCGCGCACCGTCAGCTACGTCAGCCCAGACAAGAGCAGAGCAAATAGAGAAAGAATAGAGGATAATTGTGTCTGGATGTGAACCATCACCTGGCTTCTAGTCCACACTATCAGCATTATTTTAATTGTGTGTGTGTGTGTGTGTGTGTGTGTGTGTGTGTGTGTGTGTGTGTGTGTGTGTGTGTGTGTGTGTGTGTGTTCCAATTCAAACACTGGTCTAACCAACCAAACCAGCGTGTCCAGTAACATATTAATGTTACACTTCATGTAGGCTAGGAACATTTCACCTGCCGTGGCCCGACCGCTTCGGCTCCACATAAACTTTGTGCGTAATCAAATGTCTCTACAGGTGCTTTCTGAGCTGAAGAGGCTATTCTGCCTCAGACTGGATGGTCGTGCGTCTCCATATTAGAGACGGGAACAAGCGCTGTTCAGCCAAAGTTTCATAATTTCATAAAAAGAACATTTTTCCAAGTGACACATCCCTCAGAGAGACCGGGTTTCCAGACCGCTTCAGTGGGAGGAAATCTTATCGCATGCACCGTGGTTCTGCGCTGCGCTGCGAACCCCTCTGCAGATCTTCAGCCCACTGTCCACCGTGGGCTCTCCGAGCCGCGCTGAACACAGTGTTCAGTATAAAGCTCTGATGTTCTGATGGGAATCGTTTCTTGATGGATTTAGTTACCTCTGCGATGTGCGTAACGATTAAAGCAGCTCATCTGTGTGCATCAGTGCGCGTCGGGGTAATTCTTTGAAAACAACCAATATCCTTGAGTTTATCCGTCAAAATAAAAGTCAAATGTAAATATCTGAAACCTGCCATTTAACTGTTTTGCCTTCCTGTGAAGATTGTTGCAAAGAGAAACAAACTTGATTAACCCCAGAGCCACAGATATAAAATTAATGCAGTAAAATATAAAGCATTTTATTTAAATATCTGTCGTGTTCGGCTATAATGAAGAATGAAACACCTCAGAAGTTAACCGTGTTTAATGTGTAATAATCCTCCGATAC